ATTGGGTTTCTGTATGTATCGTGCCCGTTAATGGGTTGTTGGCGTGTAGGGCATTGAGAGTAAATAAGGCTCATGTCTCTGGACAACGTAGAATTGCAAAATTCAATGGTCGCAAGAGTTTGATTACCCTGGCGCGCGTAATTCGTGGATTTAACCGAATCAAATGAGCTAATGATTAGAGATGGCCGACTTCATTAATAAAGCACCATTTTGTGACATACACAAAATAAACTCTGTGAAGAAATAAGTTCTATTTAAGACCTTGCGAATTTTTTAACAAAATTGCACAATTCGAACTAAAATCGAATGTGCTAATGTATACCAGCTCCAATTACTCGGTAAAGAGAGACTATTTTGTTCTAGATTTAAAAATCCGCTTAGAATCGCTCGTGTGCAATTAATATGAAACAAACAGGAAACCCGGTCATCGCCATCTTCATCGACTCAAGTACTATATTGTACTAATATGGGTGTCAAGTAATTTGGTGGACATTTGATTTGTGATCTCAAACTAAAAATTATTTGGTCAAATCTTTGAACTAATTTGGAGCAAATATCGAATCTAAATACCAAATATTACACATTTTTATACACACGGTTTGATACAATCGTCTTAAAGTGACAATGAATCAAGAAAGATAGGTGACAGATCCTGCACATTGAAATCTTGCCAAGAGATGTAAAATTTCTCGTGACGTAGTCCTTTCTGTGGTCTCCTTGTATTTTAAAAGTTACGACACACCCCGTTTTTATTAATATAACTGAGGGTTGCTGATTTTAACAAAAAATTGAAACATTTTGATTCTTCTCACTTATAACAACGGCTTCCCCAAACACGAATCTATTCCAAATTTTGCTAGGAAACTACTCGCTCTACTGCGATTAATACGCAAGATTAAAACTCTCGATTTTTCTCTGAAATTCTGTGCGAAAATTTTGCTTGTTTTTTTTGAATAAATTGATAATGTTTGAATTTTTGTGAATTTTTAAATTTCTTTTTGCAATTCTTGTGCATTTCGTAAGAGAATAAGGTCACATTTTTACTATTCAGGTAGACAGACGCCAAAGACAAGAGGATTATATCATTAGATTGTCTACTTTATCCTCAGGCACATTCTAATATTCTGCCTGGTACGAGTGGTTAAATTATTTGTGCTTTTGGTGCGCATGCGCGGATTGAGCGCGAGCATGGCTGATATATATTGTACGAGACTTTGTTAGTAGCTGCTTTGGGTAGCATGTTAATAAATGGCTAATTATTTATACAGTCCATTATATCGTCGTACCAACGAGATTCCACAGCATTTACTTAAAAGGTAAATACAGTTTCTTGATTTTGGGGAAACATCGCTTAAAAAGCGTTTCACGGTGCACCTTTTTCTTCAAAAAGCACCATAATTTATACACACTAACAGACCTACTCACAGTAATGCGACAGTGGCGTATGGCTTTCCAGCGCAATTGAAAACTCTGTCGATTGTTCTAAATCTTTACAGAATTCAAGAGAAAGTTTGAACTCTATAGCCATAACAATGCTTTTAAGGCCTTTCCCAGATTATCCCAATTATATATAATTATTACCTATCGACAGCTAGAAGGCTGTAAATAAAGCTCTAAGAACTTCAAAACGTGGCACTCGGCGACTACTGCTTTCTTTCTCACACTCCTTCATCTCCTTCTTTTTGTCACGACGTATTATAGAAGACAAAAACGCGCGCACCTGGGTTCGAACCCGCGACATCAACAATTCGGAGATGGCGGCTTTGCCACCCGAGCTAACCAGACTCTCAAGCTTTAGATGACCTTCAGACGAGTCACACAACGCATCAAGTGGCTATACTCAACAAATAAATTACTAATTTTGCGCTACTCGTGATGCTACTTTATTTGTCTTTTGTGTTTTCTCGTCCATGACGTCCACTCAGCCTAAGTTTATCTCTAGGGTCATAATAAGCGGCTATAGAGCGTAGTGCGTGCCACGCAACCTCTCTGGAATTCGTTGCAGCTACGGTCATGAGATAATGACTAAATCAAGTGGCCTGAGCACATTTAAACCACGTACCTATAGCTTTACGATGCTCACAATAGCGGTACGAATATTATTATAATTAAGGGATCGAAATTCTACCAAATTTCATCTATTATTTGCGTTTTTGTGGAGTCCATTGAATTTTTCTGAATTCTTTGTATTTTTCTAAATTTTCCAAATATGCCTCAGTTTGAATGAAATTTCGTGAATGTCTATCGTATTTTTTTAGGATTTTTCAAAATTTTTGATTTTTAATTTTTGTGTACCCCTATTTTTGTTGATGTTTCCGCCTCAGAATATGCTGTGTATTTTTGCATTTATGATGGTTAGATAAGTATAGTTTCTCACCATTTGAAACTACATACTTTCAAACTATTTTGGAACAATGGAACCATTTTCCTAAAAAAGTATGCTGCAAATACAAACGTGACCAAAACAAACCAGCGTTTTATGAAACTTACACAAACTAACACAGCTTAATTACAAATGTATACGGGGAACCCAAGGGAGAAACGAAGTATAATTTTTTGAAAACTACACCGTTTAATCGAAAATTACGTTCGAACACGAACAATTCTGATTTTGGAATAACATTAACATGAATGTAGAACTAGGATCATTTTTTCAAAACTAAATTTATTAAAAACTGACGGATACGTTAACCATGGACGTGTGGCGCAGTGACATGGAAGCGCGACTGGAGTACTAAGGGTTCCTGGTTCGAATACGGGTTTGGGCGTGGATATTTGTAAAAGTACAGAGCATGAACTGGCTGAAACCCCGCCCACTTAAAAATAAAGTAAAAAAAAACGAATGTTATCAAAATATGAGATAATATAATATCATTCCTAGATTTTCCGCCGCTCCGTTTTGGAAACCTATTATTTTTACTAATCCTATCCCTTAAACAATGTCATATGTGATTGTGAAATACTATATTAAACAGCGTACGGAATGCCATTGCAAGGTTGCCGTACACTATCTTTTTCTATACAGTTGCATCTGACAATTTTTCATTGAACGTCACTAAACCGGGTAGTCATTTCGTCATATGTCAAAGAGTATACCTAATAGCAGTGAAAAGAAAAACCTAAGTCAATCTTAAAATGTGTTGGTATTGGTAATGCCATCTCTATCCTCTGGTTTTTTTAAAAACTACACCCAGAAGACATAGTAACAATAATAACAAAGAAATACAATCACTTGAAACACTTTGCATATGCATGGAATGGCGATTACGATTTATATTAATTTTTATATTCATATTAAGAGCAAAAGACACGGGCCGTGTACAAACCTTGAGGAACTTCACATGTTTTTTCAGATTTTACGAGCATCTGCCATCAAATCTTTTTTTTGTTTTTTAGTATCCATTTATTTAATACGGCAGGTAAATTTCTTCTTTTTTGCGATGTTAATAGTAGGAGACCTAGTGGCACATTTTTAAACATTTTTATTAATGTTAATATTTGGATATAATATACTAATAACTATCCGAACATCTGGAAGCAATGTCACGGATGGCGTTGCGGTGGTGGGTGGTCGAATATTTTGAAAATTCAAACATAGTTTTATTATTAATTAACCTTGTATTATTTTATTTATATGAATGTACTGAAATGATAAATAATTATACAAGACGATTTTTGCGGTATACAGATTTTGAAAGACGCCATTAATTACCCGTAATATGGAATTGTCGCATTTATACTACCTATATCATAAACGAAGACCATCACTGCCGTCCGATTGGCGCACACGACTAGAACGCCGACTTTGAACGCGCCGTCGCGGGTTTGAACCTCGGATCAACGAAAGTCGAAAGTAATCTAAAAACTAATGCATAAAAAAAGGTTCATTAACAATAAAACTCTTTGACTTTTCAAATTTTTAACCCTCTTCGACCATCCACCACCGCCGCGCAATCCGCGAAATTTCTGCCAGACGCTCGGATATGTGAATGTGCCACTAGCTCTTAGATTATAAAAGAATAGTTACTGAATATATCAATATTTAGCTAGCAAATAACAAATGATCTGTAAACAGCAATAGAAACAAATTTTAAGAAGAATACCTATCATTCGCTAGTAGTATCAAAGAGTATATAACGTATACTCTTTGGTAGTATTGAGCATTGCAAACCGTTATTTATTAGACATAAAATTATGACAGTTTTTTCGGCATTCATACACAAGTGTATATTGCACACTTACACAAATTTACATACGTCTAAGAAAAATTCGTATTTCAATAAAGGTATGTCAATAAGGTACGTTGAAAAACTCAGCACACCATGTCATCGCACTGCTCATTTTGAAAAAACCCTGTATACATATGCACCCAAATATTTAATCACATGCCGGATAGCTTGAAGAAAAACGAAGATATGAGCATATACAAAAAAAGAATAAAAACATACATTCACGCATTGCCTTTATAATCATTTAACAAGTTATTCAACCTTAAGCTTTCCGTTTAAGCTATCTAATTAAAAATTAAAAAAAAAATGTATAATTATAGTTAAGCTAGAACGTAGATCACCATTGACATGTTCTATAATGGGAAACCATTCAAAAGAATAAAGACGGATTATGATTATTATTTAAACTAAGTACCTTAAAATTATTTTTTCATTGTTGGAACCAATAAGACCAAGGTTGGTTTAGTTTACCTGATAAGATAGCTTTAAGATTTGTGGTCGCTATTCTTTTTATATTCACTGAAAACTTATGCTAATATAAAATCGATACCTACGTTACCAGATTTTGAATGGTTTGCATTGACTCCATTTAAAAATGTTTGTACTAATAATAGCAATTTGCTTGGCGGTTGCATAGGTATTACAAATAATGCATGCTTAAATAGAGGATAGAATCGAACTACCGGCAGTTTTCGCAAAGATAAAAGGTTTGCGCGTTCATAGGAAACATTAAAAGGAAATTTGCATAGGATAAATATTAAATTTCCTTACCCTGTGGTCCTTTGGTCTCGTCTCCTGCCTTCTCGGCGATCCACCTTCCGTATCCGGATAAATAAGATTCCGTACGGCTCCGACAAAACGCGGTTCAAAGATTACACTTGGGAGTGCGAGAAGGGTTAATTTATTGTTATACCAAGTGGGCATCCCTCCAACAAATACATCAGAATTAGTCGAAAATCGTCCGAATTTGAACTCCTTTCCTCGAGACGTTCTCATTTGAGAAACGCCATCAACAGTTAGCACAGTTCGCTCGTCATGTCTTTGCACGTGTACTTTATGCCAATGTCCGTCGTTAAGATCTCTTCCTACGGTTATAATTTGAGCACCACCGCCTAGATTAAATCGCAACCTCAATGCGCCTTCGACTAATTTAATTTCGAAAAAGTCGTACGTTCCTCCATCATCCGTGTATAAAAGAAGTCCATTAGGCTGATCGGTTTTAAATTCAAATTCGAGACTTCCGTTCGTACCGCCACCCCATTTGCGAAATTGAGAATATGAATTGGTAGATCCGTCTAAAAGAAAACCGGAACAAAGCCCCAAAAGAGCAAAAGCAGAGTAGATAAGAAGCCGCATTTTCATTCGTTATTTATTAAATTATGTCACCGAGAAAATAAGCCTTCATTTCCAATTCGATCCTCAAATACATTACACTGATAATAGTACACCTTTAATTTGAGTATTAATTTAAAATCTCCACACTGATTAATTATTTAGTTTTCCATTTACTAGCATTACCTTTCCATCAATTTTAATAACGCGGCTTTGAAGATTTAATTATACGTTTTTCTTAATTATCTTTGGTCTCTTGGAGCGTATTTTTCAAAATATCTATTGCAGAGTGAATCCCTCCCTCCGTTCCGTCTGTCAATTAACCAATTTGAAATAAGCTACGAACGATGCCTGTCTTTATATTTTTGTTGTGGATCTCCCACAATCACTTCTTTTTACATCGATTTGCAGGACGTCTACCTAATTTACGTTCGATATTTTTCCACTTTTACACTAATGGGTATTGAAAAACGTTTATTGTCACTTTATACACATTATCACCCCAGGCAAATGCCGAAACAGTTGCGCTTCTCCTCTTGATTCATTTATAATTCAAATGACTCCCTTCAAATGATAAATTTTGACATTGCGTTATACAAATGTGTTAAAATCGCGAAAAGAAAACTGGAAAAGCGAAATTTTCATTTACCTCCGACGGTAATGCCAACTATTGGCCTAATGCACAGGATGTGGCAAAACGCGCTAATAAAGTTAGTGTATATTGTCCACCGAGCAAAAATGAATTTAATATTAGAAGCAATTGAATGGCGGCGGCGGTCAGGATACAGTATGCCCGATGTCGCGATGCTGCACTGACGCTGCGCCTTGGAAATAGGACGCCGCGCATGGACGCCTGCGCCCGCTTTAGGGGTAGTCGTCGTACGAGACATGACGATGGTGGCGGCAACGACCAGAAAGAATTTCATACTGATGCAATTGCTTAGATTGAAGGGCGTCTGCTCGTATTTTGGGGCGAAAACCTTCTTGCTAGGCTGCTAATTAGCGCTGAGTGGTTTATTAAACTTTTTACTTTCGTACTCCTTTGTGAATATTTCGTATATAACGGAGATTTGACAAAGATTTTTCAAGAAAATTCCCAGAAGGTTATGCAAATACGGTACACCCACGAACTACCCTTCCCTTTTGAACATGCAAACTTGCTGAAACTAACTACGAAAGTGTTACTTATAATGAAGAAATGTTTAGTTGTTACCGAAACTTCAATGGCTCGTTATACACAAGGGGTGTCAAAGCGAATCTGGCCAGTGGGATAGCATTTATCGCTTGAATATTGTACAATCAAGAATTAACAATAACTGGAAGCAATCTCTCCAATAACGTTTGAGCTTTTGTTAAAAATGCACAACACACCACCGCCATCCCACGCAAAATAAGGTCCTCATTTAGTCATTACTTACTGTGTACCACACCAAACAAGGCAGATTAATATAGATCTAGTCTTACACTTAGATTGTTTCCACATCTCCTTCTCTCCTAAAAGTTTTATTTTGGTAAAACAAAACCAACATAAAATTAAAAAACGCTCTCCAACATTACGTCAAGTGTCATGTCAAAAATTAAAAAGTTCATAAACAAAATTTAATTTCCTACTCAACCTCCCCCAGTTTATCAATACAGATAATAAAATTTCAAATTTATAAACAATTCAAAATTGTATCACACTTAAATTTCCTCTAAAATAAACAAATTTATCGTTGTTTAAAGGTTAGCGAATAGATCAACTAATAATTGCTCATTGTAAAATATACAATAATTGAGTTTTCCCATCGGCATAATATACAGTGTGTAAAGAGATGGGGTATACAAGAGGGAATTTTTTTTAAAATATTGATTTATGAAAAAAATTTATTCTTCATGATATTTTTTGCTTGCTTTGAAAGTACCAATAACGTTTCGATAATCTAAAATTTATTTATAGAAATCTGGAAAAATAATAAAATTAATTTTTTTTATTAAAAGTTATATCATTCTACATTATAATCAAGATCGAGGCATTTTCAAACAAGTATAAATTGTGCACAACTCTTGTGCAGATAAAGCGCATTTTTTTAACCGAAATAGCTTTTGTTTTGACATCACCAATGGATATATTTCTTGCAGACGTCTCAATCGCCCTTTGTGAGTACTCTCTTCCGACAATCCGTTCTTGAGGTATAAGGGAATATTATATCCGATCACGATAAGAGGTCGAGGAGGAGGGCTATGGTTGGTAGAAATTAATTCCCTTCGTTCAGAGTACCATTTAGGATAAAACTAGTTTCACTCCTCCCTCCCCCCTCCCGCTTTCCCCCATCCCCGTACTTTGATAAGAGGACAAAAAGAAGGGCAGTAGTTGGTAGAAAACGGTTCCTTTCCTTGAGACCTTTAATTAGAATACAATGCACCACTAAAGGCATGCGTATGCAAAATCTGAGACCAATTGGTTGTCGTATGTAAAAGTTATGCACGTTTTACTTTCAAAAACAGCATCTCAGGTAATAATTCGGGGGGGGGGGGGGGGGGGGGCTTTTAGACATGGAAATTTGATGGCCGTCTGGCACACTTTCAAGGTATAGGCTACCTACTGCAAAAAATTCCAGGACTCTAGGACAATTCCCCTACAAGTAGTTCGAAACGGCAGAAGTGGGTCCCGGCGGACGGACGGATAGACGGACTAAACGCACTTTTTTTTTTAATTCTTAAAAAATGGGCTAAAAATTGTTAGGTTTTATACTATTTTAAGTTTCGTTTCCTGAACTATATTAGCAGGTTTTGTTTTCTATTGTAAATTTAAAGCGCGCATTGCAACTGAAAGGTCATGCAAGTTTCTCCGTTATCAGCGAGTTAGTCCTGCGAATTCCATTTAACAATTGGTGTTAATTGGAATATTCTGGAAATTTGGGGTTTCATTCCGACTAATTTGTATATAATTAGTATAATTAAGAATTGCCATTTAAATGAGTTACAGAAAAACCGTTCGATTGCGCTGGGCCTTCTCTCAAAAGAAGCGCTCTTGAAGTCTGACATCGGTCTCATATTTTTCCGACGTCGACGAAAGAAGTAGTTAATTAAAAACAATTTTAATTTTTTTGAACATATCGAAGGTATCAGCGTACAAGATGGGAATTCCAATTTCTCCCTACTAGAAATGGACGTTTAGATAAATAGAAAACGCACTATGAATGTGGATCTTTTACTTTTGCATCATCGCAAGCTACATTATGCGAGTACTCAAATTTGTTAACTTTGCCGTTTGTGTTTTGTTACTTTGGGGAGTTTGCCTTAATTTTGTTTTAGTTTTTCCGAAGTGACCGCCACCATCCTCTGAACGCGTCCGATTCCTGGGATCGCCGTTCTCCGTTGGAGTTACCTGGAGCACCCGCCACCGTGATTCCAAATCCGGATCAGAAGAATGTTTCTGAAAACTTGGTGGCGCCCGAAGCACTCCCGTTCAGCCGTTTGTTGCCGCCGTTCCGCCGTCTCCTGCTGATTATCACCGCGGTCACCGTCTACATACCAATATTTTGTATAAATTACCGCTGAATGTTTTTTTTCTGTCATTAAATTTCATTTTGTAATTATACCGTTTAATTTGTGATTTTGTGAAGAAAAACTGAAGCCACTCTTGCTGCGCGAGCTTCCGGAGAAAATTCGTCGCACCACCATCAGTAACGTCTTGTCGGTGGCAACCTCATTCTCTTTGTCGGTACTCATTTTCGACATCCCGCGTTCATGCACAATTCCCGTTTGGAGTTTTGACTGCACCATTGAGTTTGATTTTATTAATATATATCTTCGTGAATATCACGTTGGAGTTGTTAGTTGGAATTACCTTCATACCATTGCGATTTACACCCCTTAGAGTTAATCTGGGCGCAAGTTAAACGTTATTCTGTAACTGCCTACAAAATTTGTGATGTGAAAACACTTTTAGCAGAAGATATCGACAATATAATCAATGAACAATGGCAAAATTGCGGGAAACACACTAAAGAGGTAGAAAAGAAGATGTGGGATCTGGATGGAATAGGTAGCAGATAATATGATGGAAATCATAATCAATTTGGATTTAGATAATTAAATAATAAAGGTATTTCCCCTATTGCGTACCCGCGGACATAGGTACTGTGTAATATTAGCAACCACCGAAAAGTAAACTTTTATTATTAGAACTAATAAAAAATGGAAATCTTCATCGAACGTAAAAGATACATCTTAAATAGCAAATGAGAGCAGTGAATCGCCTTACGATAATTAAAATATAGTAAAGCATCTATCAAAAGAACACACTAGATTACACTGTATATAATAAAATACATTTACTATCCTCCTTGTCGTTCCAAAAAATGTCCTCATCACACAAACATTCTTCGTTAACACAAGGAATGTAATATCCTTATAAATTAATACTGAATATTTAGTGAAAAGCTTGCTTTATTTGAAAAACAAACTGCGAGCTCCAGATCGAGACACTGAAATTTAAACGTTCAAAAGTACTTTGTTAAAAGACCCTCTGTCCTTATTATATGCCTAAGGGTGCATATGAAAGCGGAAACAATTATTTATTTTCAGAAAACGTAATTTAGGATAAATAACACAGAAGCGGATACCATTATCCTCCCCAAAGAATAATATTTGCGAACTTCTTAATAACTGCAGCTCCCCTATTTTTATCTAATTAGGTTGCCGAGGAGAACTTTTCTCAAGAATGTACAAACATTCCTTTACTTCAGTTCGTCGTATAATTTTACACGTTAAGGTTTCTCATAGTCGTAATAACGTTCAATTACATTAACAAATCTCGATTTACGTGCTTATTCACATCTCAAGATCGGAGATACGTGCTTAAAAGCAAAATTTGAAGTTTATGATAATCTCGATAAAACACTCCTGTAGAAAACGTGACCAATTAAGCCTTACGCATGTCATTAAAATGGAATCTGTAGGATACATCATAATTTTGTATAGGGCGTTTATTTTAAAACCTTTCAATATGCTTCTTTTGATGATGTCAAATTTATAATAAGATAAGAAAGATACAATCACTCTTTCGATAATGGGGTACAAAGTAATGTGGAGTCCAGGTTATCGCTAGTCATCGCAAAGTCGAAATTTGAAATTGTGATGTCCCCATAGTCCATTGAAATAGTCCTTTTAACATTAGAGTGTAAGGGGAAACACTGGAACTACTTGTGGCTGTACACACAAATAAACCACAATAATAAATTAAAATCTATTGTTGTTCTTGCTGCACTGTCGAAAATTAAACGAAGTTTCGGTTTTTTCGGATTCAGCGTTCCAAAGTAAGGTAAGTAAAATTCCTTATTCCTTTCTATCATCATTTCATCAAAGATATTTTTTTAAAATAATATATTCTTCAATTTTTCTTTCTTCTTCTTTCTTCGTTTTTAACCATCCCCCTTTTAGAAAACATTATCCTTTCCCTAGCAATTCTTCTCATTCTGGTAGCTTCTTATTTTCATATTTCCACAACAAAGCGATCTTCGACCTGTCTATTGCTTTTTGCTGTATTTTCTACCATTTTTAGCGCCTTTTTGTCCTCCGAAGTACGCAAGTACCCAAAACCTTCGGTGCCAAAGATTTGTTTTACTATTTCAAGTAACGATCTTTTGTTTTTTGTTTTTCTGTTTACATCAATTCATTAGTTTCCATTCACCCGCTATTTTCTCCATTTTTATAAAACAATTCCAATTCTACAACCTGGTATAATATTTCACCACGCTTCCTTCCTCTACATGTCTAATCATCTCAGCAGATTCTTCTGCATCTCTTTTCAACTTGTATGATGTCCCTCTTTACATCCGTCTTTTTCATATCTGTCTTAATAATAATAATAGTATTTTATTCCATTTGTCAACAAATATCTTAAAATTTTTAAATTACATTGAATATTATATAGGTAAAAAACAAATTACACATTAAATAGCGACAAACAAGTTACATTAACCAGTAAAATA